TTGATGGTGTTTTCCAGTAGTGCTTCCAGTCACCTGGCCGTGTAGTGTGCTTTGACAAACATCTGTGACAGAATGAGTCGCTCACTGAATTTCAGTGTGTTGCTGTAATCGGATGCTTTTAACTTCTCATGTAGCAGCTTGTTAGCACAATCCTTCTCTTAGAAGCTACATAATTCACATGCAGGGTGTTAACTTTTATATTGGAGCACAAGAAACTGATTTAACCTCAAACAAAATCAGACTCTTTCACCTTGAAGCAAAGACACAGATGATGGTTGTAGGATTTAACCCTGCGCCACACTCATTTAGTTCTTTAACTGGACCATTTATCAGCTAGCTGTAGCAACACGCTAGAAGTTTGTGCTTTTTAAACATTAGCGGTTATCTCTCTAAATCAAACGTGTGTTTAACATGGAGCTGGGCTGTACTTTTTAATGCTTGGCACTGTTTTTCTCCTAGCTTTTCACTTAAACGAGTGCTGACAGTTTGGGTTGTTTTTAATGAGGGTACTTTCTTCTTCTCCCTGCAGGATTTATGCAGTGACTGTGAGTTCGCGTGTGACTGCAGGGAAACAGGAGACCCTGTGTGCCCAAATTCACGGCCTGACTGGGCCTGTGCGCATGGTCATCGGCCTCACTGAGGGCTCTGTCACAATCTTAGATGAGCAAGTAAATGAGGACTTCTACCGCTGCCTAAACTTCCAGGTCAGATCCAAGAAAAGCACAAAAGAGCTTGTGAATACTCAGACTCCCACTCTCCACACTTCCAGTTTCATGTGGGGGATAGTTCAGGATGAGTGGGGTCCTATTAGACCATAGCCCAGAAATGCATATTTCACTGGGTAAACTTTTTTCTTCTGGAACATTTCATTATGTTTTCGATATAAAGCGATTGAAATTGTAATTGTAGCACTAACCACATGGAAGTTTCTGTTTGTGAATGAAATCTGCTTGGTGGTTATCCCACGCCATCACGCCAGAGTGTAAATCACACACGGACCAATCAGCTCTAGCTCCCAGTGTTTTATCTGTGAAACCAGCTTCCTTTTACAGTAATAAGTGTTCTCTTCGTTTCCTACACAGCTGCTGTAAACAAATATTCACTCTGATTCATTAAATACTGTCTTCAGAACGTCCTCTGGCTGAATTGCAGCTGTTTTTCGATGCTGTACCTCCAGCATGACTAATCGTGAACAATGATTCGCGGTATTTACAGTATTTCACTTTTTAAAAACAAAACAAAAAGCTTTGTGTTGTGTTGTTTGTAGACAGTAAATGCACCAGCGTGGTTTCCAAGCAGAATTCCTATCACCATCCATTAAGCTAATGGCTTAAATCTTGGCACAAGTTTGGACCTAATTATCCTCCCGGCGCCATGACTGAGACTGCCAACCTCAGTGGGTTCTCTGCAAATTGCAGCTCTGCTTTATGTCACACCTCTGCTTGCTGTTATGCAACTTGCAGGCCTTGCTCCATATTGATGTGGAACGACCCGCCGACCCAAATAGCCTCTGTGACAGTCGCGCTTAGTTTCACTTTGTTCCTGCTATTTGGCCCTGTTGCAGGACTGGTTTTTGTCTCTAGGCACAAAGACTGCTTTCTGCCAGAGGCTAGCTATGTACCTGCATTCCTCTGGAAGCCAACCCTGCGCTCAGTCTCACAACACACATCTGAACACAACAGTCTTTTTGACATGTGTGGAAGTGGTTCTGGTCCTTGTTATGTAACAGCAACATTAACAAGTGAAAACGTGCACAAGTGTGACAGCATTTCATAATTAACTGTGTGCAACATTGTTCCCTAAGAGCAGCACAGCTCAGATGGCTTTTTATGACACGTTTAATGCAAAAGTCGTGAGCTGCCACACATTTTGCGTCCAAGGAAGCGGGCCAACACTGTCACTTTTTAAAGTGGTTTTCGGCATTAGTTCTTCAGACTTTCTGAAAGTCTTTCAATGTGTTTGGCTGCACTTTCACCCATTTGCAGTCCACGCTGTGTACCTGCCATTTTCAGTGGAATGTGTTTTATTTAGTTTTTCACTTTATTCTAACCTCTGACTCAT